CAGTTGGCCAATTAATTTCTTTCTATTTATAGTAGAGACGGGGTCTCGCTCTTGCTCAGGCTGGTTTTGAACTCCTGACCTTGAGCAATCCGCCCGCCTCGGCCTCCCAAGAGCTAGGATTACAGGCGTGAGCCACAGCGCCCGGCCTGCTTTCAAAGTCTTTTAGGCATTAACAGATAAGTACAATAAGACCTTAGTTTATGATAATTCTTGTTTAATTAAATTTTCAGATAAATTTAGGGTTGGCCAGAAAATCCTTTTGGTTTCGAACTGTGTTTTTCAAATGTGCAGATTACTTCTGGACTCACCATATATGTCAGGGCCATTTTTCCAGATGCCCATTCTCATGGGGACATCATATTGTAAAGCATCCTAGAAGAATGGTGGAAATCTCCTGGTCTTCACCTGCTAGAAAGGAGGACGCAGAGGTCTGCAAAGGTTCAAGGTCTGCAGCTCGGCAGTGAGGGGCAAGGCCTGAGTGGGCCCCCATGACTCATTCCTCCTGTTGCAGCCATCTTGTTTTGAACCTTGCATCTCGGTGTGACTGTCCAGGGAGGGGAGGGGGCTCTGTGGGACTGACCCTGCAGGAATCCCGTGAACCAGTCTGTTCAGTGGAGGTCAGTGTAAGCCCATTCTGAGATCTGTGTATCACAGTGGGAAAGGGGTACTTACCCAGAAAGACCGTTGTGGTTTTGTTAGTAATTGCGTGTAGTGTTCTCCTGGGAACTTGGGTGTTTTGCTATTTAAAATGTCACTCCCTCCTACCTGCCTAGAGTAGCGTGCCTTATGATATGTGTCATAAGCTGGATTCTTTTATGAGTTTTAGAAATCAAAAAGACATTCCCCATATTTTGCCTTTTTCTAGAGGTCTCAGAAAAAGTATTTTTCACTAACCTGAATTTGCTGAGGTGCTAGCTTATTCTGGTGTATTTTCCTATGTGAGGCAGCCTGGGAATGGGCTAAGCTTCCTCAGCTCTCAAGGTCATCAGATCAAGTGTGGACACATTATGTTCACTAAAACTGCTGCTGATGTGACTAGCTTTTTAGATAGAAAGACAATTCCAAAGAGAAATTTTATGGGATGATATTTGGAAACATAGCAGAACCAAGGGTGCATGATGGCTTTGTTTGAAAGTATCTGAGACTATGGTGAAATGATCGTTTTCCTACTCAAAGCTGGCATTTACTTGGCTGAAGTCAGATTTGTGTAGATCTTTCATGGTGAATTTGCCCACCTGGCTCTTCTGTTAGAAATCGGGGGTTTTCTGTATCGAGCCATGTGGGTCTGGGAGGCAGTTGTGTGGTCTCCTGGTAAAAGATGCCAAGCAGGGTGAGCTTCTGTAAGACATTTACCCAGGAGCCCCAGTTCCCAGGGCCCTTTGTCAGCCCTAGGAGTGCCTGTCCTCTCTGGGGAGGCCAGAGACTCAGGTTCTAACCCAGGCTCTGCCATAGTCACTCTTTACCTTCTGGTCAAATCCCTTGATGCTTCACTTTATTTCTGTGTGGGAGAGAGGATGACGAGATGCTCCCAAGCTGCCTCATGGGCTTTAGTGAAGAAAGGTGACATAGTCGATGTGTAAACACACATCAGGTGTGTTTCAGTGAGGCAGGCAGTTGAGAGCCCATGTGCTAGGTGAGACTGGCCATCTGGGAGTTCTGGGCCCTGCCTCTAACCCCCTCTCCAGTGGGAGCAGCGAGGGCTGTGAGCCCGCACAGGTAGCATGTGGGTGCCCGGCCTGCAGTCATGGGTAATTACCGCTGATGCAGTCCGATGCACTCATAATTAACTTATGAGGACATTGCATTCTTGAAATATTGAACAGGCATCCTTTGCTTCTCAGCCGCCACAGAGGAAAATGTCAGTGGTGATAATCTGTTCATATTGACTTATATGTTTTAAAGAATTGGTTTAGGATGTGAGATGGTATTTACAGTTTTCACATAATTTATGTTATGAGAGTGCTTTCCTGACTTAAAGTTTGAAGCCTTTTCTTAAAAAGAGTCGTTCCATTCTAAAGTTACCCTGTTATCAGAACATAGAAATAGGAACGAGTTTTTGGTGGGTGTTGGAGGTTTACATTGTTCACTCCATCCCTCGTTTCCAGATCCCAGTGTTTCACGGGGATATGTTTCCAGGAAATTTGGCCTGGCATAGGGATTTGGTGTTCCATGTAGTTTCCCGAGAGGTGCAATTGTTTGAAGTCCTTGCCCACCTACTCTGCCCTTTGTGAGAAGAGATCCTGTTATTGGCTTGGAAGACTCTGGAAATCCGAGCAGCAATAGCAACAACAAATCAGCACATCTGAGTGGTAATGTGGTAATGTGATGTTCTTACAGAAGAATCATCTTGCTGTTGGTCAGTGTTATATAAAATGTTGATGTATTTTAGATGTTACAGATTTGAATAATTCTAAAGTTTGAAAATTTTTTTTTGTTTTATAGTTGGCAAGCTCAGGGGAGTTATCTAAAAAGTTGTCAGATGGATCTTTAAAAGACTCCAAAGCTGAAACAGAGGTAAGTTTTTAAAAATGACTGTAAGAGATACAAGCTTGTGGTTATGTTGAAATAATAAATGCTGTGTCCTCTCCCACTCCACTGAGGCAGGGGAGCAGAGCACCATTATGTGTGGGCCCTTCTTTTTTATTTTTATTTTTTTAATTTTAGCGTATTATGGGGGATCCCCATCCCCCATAATATGTGTTAAGGTTACATATATTGCCCATGCCCCGCTCCCCCCTCAAGTAAGAGCTTCAAGTGTGTCCATCACCCAAATGTCGCACATCTTGCTCGTTGTGGTTGTATATACCCCTCCCCTTTGCCCCCCTCCCACCCTCCTGACACCCGATAGATGTTACTCCTATATGTCCTCTTAGGTTTTGATCTATTAATACCAATTTGCTGGTGAGTACATGTGGTGCTTGTTTTTCCATTCTTGAGATACTTCACTTAGTAGTATGGGTTCCAGCTGTATCCAGGAATATACAAGAGGTGCTATGTCACCATTGTTTCTTATAGCTGAGTAGTACTCCATGGTATACATATACCACATTTTATTAATCCACCCATGAATTGATGGGCACTTGGGTTGTTTCCACAGCTTTGTGATTGTGAATTGTGCTGCTATAAACATTCAAGTGCAGGTGTCTTTTTCATAAAGTGACTTTTGATCTTTTGGGTAGGTGCCCAGTAATGGAATTGCTGGATCAAATGGTAGATCTACTTGTATCGCTTCGAGGTATCTCCATATTGCTTTCCATAGAGGTTGAACTAGTTTGCAGTCTATGGGGCCTTCTTTATTTTGTTGTAAAAGTAATAATTTAAATGGTTTACCTCCTGATAAAATAGATGTGGTGTGTTTATTCTGTGGTTTTTCTGGGGGCACTCCTGGGTCCACTTATGCCTTTATTTATTTATTTTTGAGACAGTCTCACTTGTTGCCCAGGCTAGAGTGAGTGCCTTGGCATTAGCCTAGCTCACAGCAACCTCAGTCTCCTGGGCTCAAGCAATCCTCCTGCCTCAGCCTCCCCAGTAGCTGGGACTACAGGCATGTGCCACCATGCCTGGCTAATTTTTTTTTTTTTTTGTATATATATTTGTAGTTGGTCAATTCATTTCTTTCTATTTTTAGTAGAGATGGGGTCTCGCTCAGGCTGGTTTTGAACTCCTGACCTTGAGTGATCCGCCCGCCTCGGCCTCCCAGAGTGCTAGGATTACAGGATGAGCCACCGCACCCGGCCCACTTACACCTTTATTTAACAAGTGTGATGTGTGGTGCACGAAGGGACAGGGTGGTCTTTTGGAGAGAGGGTGGAGGTGGCACTCAGGATGAGAATGGGAGAGAATTAAGGATTAAGTCAGCAGGCAGACAGGGAAAGGGAGGGCCAGCTGAAGGGACCCCTCCAAGGTGTGCTTGTCCTGCTTGGGACCCCATATTGTGTTTCCCATGGCCAGGCACAGTGGAGGCCCGCCATCTCCACATAGGGCGTTCTGTGGAGGTTAGACTCATCCCAAGCAGTAGGGGCCATTGAAAGGTTTAAGTCAGCTTTCGTAATCCACTTTGCATTTCAGAAAGTGTTCGGACAGCTGCCGGGTAGATGGGTGGGGCCTGGAGTAGAGGCTTGGAGGCTGGTTAGGAGACCACGTGAGACTGGAACTGTGCCACGAAGGGAGAGGCAGGATATGCTGTGTCTCCAATTTGTTTTCTGTTTAAACACAACATGTATGTTTTTACTTTCAGAGTTGTTTATAAATACATTTAGTAAGTATATGGCAACAGAAGTTGAGCCCTCATAAGCATATCTGATAAGACAATGATTCTCAAAGTGTGGGTGTCAGTTTGCTGACCTTTTTAGGGCTGTACAAAAAGAGGGAATTCTAAATTTAGGATGAAAGAGATTTTGGCTTCCTTCTAATTCACACAGTCAGGTCTTGAGTGCTTGGTTGTTTTGTGTTGGTATCAGTTTCTCTTTTAAAGCATATGGATGCTATTATTGGTTTTCATACTTGTTCCTCAAGCAGAGCTTGAAAAATAAATCTGCTGATGGTATTGCTGTGTGATGCATCAATTAATTTTTTTCATCCTCTTTTCTTTAAGACTGAGCTTACCTCTAGATCATCCAGGTCATTGACAACAAAAACTTCAAAACGGCGATCCAGAAATTCACTGGAAGGTACTGCAAAACTTACTATATATGTAGCTGAAAATATGCATATTAGTTTTTTTGCTCTATTCGCAACATCTAGTAGAAAGTACTTGTGGCTGGAAAACAGACCTGTTGTGTATAGGGATGAACAGTGACTGTGTAGACAGAATGAAGATATCCGTGTGAGCTCATGACACCAGGAACAGAACAGTCCCTCTTTGCTGGAGATCTGTGTTAAAATCTAAAACGTGTGATTGAATTTTCATTTTCCAGAAATACTTACAAGTCATCTGCCTTTTGTTGACCCTGTCCTTCACATTGGTAGGCTAAATTTAATCCTGAGGCAGGCTGGACACGAAGAGCAACGTAGGCAGATAATGTTTATGCATTTAAAAACAGCGGGTTGGGAATCACAGTATAAACTGAGGCCCACAGGCCTGGCCTGGGGTTTGCCCAAGGGTAGTACCTATAACAGACCAGCAAATAGGACAAGAATGTTGGGGAGGTGCAGGGAAAGTACTTTTGGAGGCCAGTAGTGTTGGAGGCTTACTTTTAATTGAAGTATGAAGTTCCTTTGAATGAGCAGTAGTAGTTTCTGAAGAATTATCCTTCTCTTAAATTGTGTAAGTTAATAAAGTGTGGCAAGAAGGTAGCAGTTGGAATTTTTCATTTAGAAACGGAACGTAGATGGTAAGTTCTACTCTTTCATGATAGTAAGTGATGCTTTCGTGAACATCTGTGTGCCAAAAGCCTTTCCTCTCTGTCGGGTGATCGCGGTCGGATCGGTTCCCAGCCGAGTGGTCACTGGCACAAAGGGGCATGGAATTTGTAAGGTTTCAGCTACCTCGTGCCACCAGCTGTGCCCTCTGCCCACACCTTGTCCAGTGTTTGAAAGGGGTGTTGATTTTGATAAATGAAAACCCAAAATTTTATTACCACTGAAATTTTACATTTTTTTCATGTGTGTTAGTTTTATTGGCTTCTCTGACTTGTCTGTTCTTTCAGTTGCCTCTGTTTCGAGTCTCAGTGTTCTTGCCAATTTGCATGTGCTCCTTGTACATTAAGGACTTCTCATTTTTACATAAGTGTTATATTTTTTTCCACTAATTATGTTTGGTTTGGTTTCTCATTTGCCTGAGTGTTAAATTTTTATGTACTTGTTGAAGCCACTAATCTTTTTTTGGTAATTTGTTCAGAGGTTTCAGAGATGAAGATTTGTATTTTATCATACATTATCATATTTAATCTTTTCAGTTATTTCTTATTTTAATTCCGGGTGTAAAGTAAGGCTCTGAATTTATTTTTTCAGAATAATTCCCTAGCAGTTTCAGCGTCACTTAATAATTAGTTGTACTCTTCCCTCCTCTGTGATGCCTTTTGTAGTCTGGGTTCTGTTTTCTTTTGTCTGTGTGTGTGTGTGTGTTTTACTTCCACTGTTTTCTGTTTTTCTACTGGTTTCCTATCATTGTTCTTTTCAGAGAGTTTTAAGGCATTTTATTTGCTTATTCTTCCAGATGAATTTTAAAATCACTTCATGACTCAAAAGAATCCTACCTCCCACAAAACTAACTAAGTTCTCAGGATTTAATTTGACTTGTGTTAAATTTGTGCATTCATTAGTTCGGGGAGTTTGGATACTTCTAATTTCAAGTTAGTAAACTTATTCTGTCTTCTGAGAAGATGTGTGTGATGTGCTTGGGTGTGTCTGTTAGTCAAGGTGTTTGCTTGATAGTTTGTTTGGTTTTTAGGTTTTTGGGAGGAGGTGGTATCTTTTTGCTCTTATTAGTTTTTAATGATTATTGTTGGTATGTAGGTGCTTTATTGATTTTTGTTAACTGTATCCTAAATCTAGTTTCGTTCTTGAATTCAGTAGTTCTTCCATTGATTCTTTTGAGTTTTTAAGCAGCAGTTGTATCATCTGTTCTTTTCTAATCACTCAGGATATTTGCATCTTGTTTACTGGTAAGCTTGTGCTGTACAGTTCTTTTTGTGTGATCTTTAAGAGATTATACTGTCAGAGATTTGCAGGCTTTCTGACATTAGCTTCACTGAGCTGTCAACAACTCTGGACTTTTGTCTTCCCAGCCTGCTAGCAGGTCACTGACCTTACCATGAGTTCCCTGGCAGAGCTGGCACTCTGCCTGAACATTCTGCCTCACTTACATGGGTTGGCATTTGGGCAAATGCCCAGTACCCAGAGGTGTTTGAGACATAGGGCGTCTGTGTTCTGCTTGAGAGGATGAGCCTTTACTACAGAGTGTGAGGGTGTAACATTTGTTAAACATTCTTTCATTTTGAAAGCCATTCTATAATCTCTATAGAATCCAAAACACATTCTGCATAAGAATATGATAGTTTTTACTTATTCTTAAGTATGGCATTATAGCAGAGCTGATCACCTTGAGTGAGTTCATTTTAATTTCATTTTTTTGTTAACTTGGCAGCATTATAAGTTAAGTTTAATACGTATTTTCATTATGCAATTTCATGTCAGGAAGAAGGGACTCTAGAACCAGTGAAAGTAGTCTTTCCTCTGAAAAAGAACATAACTCTTCCTACTGTAAACCTAAGAAGGAACATATCGTGAAACAGCTCGGTAAGACTGAGTGAGCCCTAGCGGATGCTGTGCATGAGTGTTTGTGACTGGACGCCTTTTGCTGCCTGCTTCTTTGCTTCCTTGGTCATTGAACTCCTGGGATTCCACGTGGTGTTTAGCACAGGTCTGGCCCTGCTTGACCTGTGGCCTGAGCTCTAGAGCACTGTCCCCCTGGCCAGAGTGGAGAGGGGGCAGAAAGACATGTGTGCCCTGCAAGGCACAGATTTTCTACTCTAAGTCAATTACGGGCTGAAACTGTCCATTTGAGCCTTGCTTTTTTTTTTTTTTTGAGACAGGGTCTTGCTCTGCTGCCCAGGCTAGAGTGCAGTGGTGCAATCATAGCTCAGTGAAGCTTTGAATTTCTGGGCTCAAGCGATCTTCCTGCCTTAGCCTTCTAAGTAGCTGGGACTATAGGTGTGTGCCACCACACCTGGCTAATTTTTTTTTTTTTTGTAGAAACAGGAGGATCTTGCTATATTGCTCAGGCTGGTCATGAATTCCTGGGCTAAAGCAATCCTATCACCTTGGCCTCCCAAAGTGCTGGGATTACAGGCATGAGCCACTGTGCCCAGCTGAGCCTCCCTTTCCTTATTGTGCAGAGATGTATAATATAATAAAGAGCACACAGAAGCATATACATGCATGTTAGTGGTGAGACTCACGAAGGAAAATGAAACCCGTGGAAGCAGGGTGAGAGCATGGGCAGGAAGGGCCTCTCTGAGGGGGACATCTGGACAGTGAGGCTGATGGGGGTGAAGGAGGACATGCAAGTGTCCAGAGCCTCTGAGCAGAGCTTGTGAGCTGGGGGCAGGCTTGCCTATGTGAGGGGTGAGGCTGGGGCAGCGAGAGGGGCAATAACAATAGGCAGGGCCCAGGGATGCTGGGCCACGTCAGCGTGTGTCTTACAGTAGGTGTGAACAGAAAACCTTGCAGGGTTTTGAGCAGGATAGAGGCGATCCTTCCTAAGGAGGGTCCTCCTCCTAGGATCTGACTTATGTTTTAGTAGGACAGGAGTGAGGAGGTTGAGGCACCTGGATGACAGGCAGATTGGGTAACTGTGCTAATGGATTGGATGTCACTTGTTAGAAAGGAGAGGAATCAAAGATAAGATCCATTCTGGGAGGGGTCTGGGCCCACAGGCGGTGACACTTATTGGAATGAAAGGCTTAGGGAGAAGCTGGTTGGTGGAATGGGGCTGCGGGGTCAGGAATTCTGTGTTGGATACGTCAAGTTTGAGATATCTGTGAAACCACCAAGTAGAGATGTTGAGTAGACAGCTGGGTGTGTAGACCTGGAGATGAATGAGAGAGTTGGAGAAACTGAAGGTAAAAACAAAAAATTGAGAGTTCTTAGCATACAGGTGTTGCTTACAGCCATGGGCGTTCGTGTGATGATCCAGGGGTGTGTGTAGGTGAAGAAGGGCACTGTGAGCTCCGGAGCCTGCTCAGCTCTGAAGGTTAGGAGGGGAGGAGGAGGATCCAGGCAAAGGAAGCAGAACTTTCCTCTGACAGGCTGGAGGAAAACTGGGAGAGTGTGTGAAGGCCAAGGAAGGAAGTGCTGGGGAAGGAGAGAGGGGCTTCCTGTTAAACCCTTCCAAGGCTGGGTCACGAGGAGGCTGAGAATTGACATTTCATTGACAAGGCAGTTTGTTGGGGACCTTGGCACAGCCCCCTGTAAATCCCAACTATAGCAACCAAACACAAACCTTTACAATATTTTAATCTGTTGTTAACTATTTTATGTCAGGAAGGAAGGAGGATAATATTTCAGCTAAACTTTTAGACCCCGTAGTGTCTGGATTAAATATTGAACCAGATCAGGAAACTACAGCTTCAGAAATAGGTAAGAAAAATATATTCTTTAGTTTAAATTCCTCACCACTTTAATATGAAATAGTTATATCTCAGTATAGTTACTATTTTTTTATTATTCTAACCACTTTAAGGTTCATCAGATTTTTTCACAATATACTAAAGATAAGAAATGACTTAATGTTTTATTTGCTTTAATTTGCTAAATTATATGATAACTTTATTAAGTCAGCTTTAAGTTAACCTTTACATGCCTTTTTATGTACAACTTATTTTTATATTTAAGTCAAAATGCTTTGTTAATCTTGCTATTGGAATTTTATAAAATGATATGGATGATTATGTAGAGAAACTATTTTTTATATCTTCATCCGGCTCTGCTTTGTTCTATTAGGAAAATGCTCATGATAACGGTTTTTGGGAAGTTGTCGTGTAGCTTGCCCAGTGCATTGTGACGTGATGCACATAAGTCTTCTGCTGATCCAGATGGGATAACCCTTGGTTAAATTCTGTAACCACAGTCTTCTGTAATTCAGGCTAAATTCAGAAATATTAGCATTCTTCAGTTGCATTTGAGGAAAAAATAGTTTTTAAACTTTTTTATTATGAAAAATATAGAAAAGTAGAAAGAATAGTACAATTATCACCCATATACCCCTCGCCTAAATTCAGCAGTTTTAATGTTTTGCCATATTTGCTTCATCTATAGTTACATATTTTAATGAACTAGTTCAAAGAATGTTAAAAACCTCCTAACCCTTTATCTCTTACTTATTATTTATCATGCAGCTTAAAAAAAGAAAGACATTCTCCTACATAGCCACAAAATAATAATTGAACCGAACTTTATTATTATTTACTTAATAGCATCCAAAACCCAGGCTGCATTCTTATGGTCCCAAAAATGTTTTTCATTTTTTTTAAAAAAACACTGGTTATGTGATCAGTTAAACTCAGATACATTCACTAATTCAATGTAGCTAAAATTTGCACAGAACACTGTCAGGTGACAGACTGCTTGCAGTTGTACTGTGGGCCACACATCTGGTTAGTGAGTTTTATTAATACCAGTAACTGACACAGAGCAGCCCTCCTGGCCAGGCACAGTGCTCCTGGCTTTAAAGACATGATCTCCTCTGACTCTGATGATAGCGCCATGAGGTGGGGCACGCTGCGGCTCAGGAAGGGACAGCTGCCTGCCCAAAGTGTAGCAGGTAGTGAACAGAAAGAAGCGCTAGTGTCTGACCTTAGAAAGTCTTGAGCCATGGCTCACGTTCTGACCTGCAAGGTTCACTGGTTACCAGGTAGTTCCAGAGAATAGATTGCTCTAACGCTTTGATTGTTTTTTTCCAATTCATAGTAATTTTAGTTTTTTAAAGTACATTCTTTTTTTAAAGACGGTTGTTCAACAAACTGGTTGATCTACCCTCTGTGATTAAGAATTGATTGTACAGTGTAGTATTATTAGTGAATGTATAGTAGTCTGTTTTTATTCTATTGTTGTGAGCTTGGGGTTTAGTAAAGCTTACTTAAGAATAACACTAGAACTTTGAAAAGATAAAAATGTGCAAAATGTCATTCGTCTCCTTGAATTACAGAATGAAGACAATGCATTTGCAATTTACTTATTGTGATGGTAGGTTTTGTAAAGTATAGAAAATATTTGACACTTCAAAATCAAATATAAAAACTTAAAATTATTAGGTAGTTTTCTTCTAAAGTTGATAATCTACAATTACCATGGTTACATTTATTTTTAGATTTTTTTTAAAAGAACTTAATATTTCATGTTCATTCTTTGGCTGTCCTCTATAAAATATCATAAACAATTAACTATTTGCATGAGACTAAGCATCATTTTTAGAGATTGAAAAAAAAATTTCCTTACAAAATTATGTCATCTATTTTATGTAGTTCTGTTACATAAATAAAGCAGTTATTTGATAGTTAATGACAGATTGATTCTGATATAAGCTGTTTCTTTAAATATTTTTAAGAAATTGTAAGATTGTATTTCAGGAAAGGGAACATTTTTTCCAATTTTATTTTTGTCTCCCAGTTTCTTTTTAGAGAGTGGTGAGTCCTTTGACGATGGGTTAGTTTTCCAGCTCTGGGTCCTACTATAATTCAAAACCTGTTCCTCTAATACCTCCCCCATCCTTTTTGTTTGTAATAGGGAAAATGTTTTATTTCTAAAGTATTTGATTTTTTTTCCCTGTTTTAATTAACTTTGGAACATCAGTCAGTAATCAGAAGACAAGTATTTGGGTGCTTTCAATATGTCTAGGACTGTGCACTGTGTCAAAAATATTTTTCTTTTCCTCTTACTTTTCTGAAACAGCCACTTACTTGGACTTCTCAACCCCTGGGCCCTCTGTAGTGGGAGACAGTTGGAGACTGACAGCGTCAGGGTGGTTCTAGAAATGGGAGGTGGAGGGGCCAGTCTTCTTTGGCTGGGGAAGACCCCAAGCTTCCTCCTTGGCTGAGTAAACCTGACGCCCACGCACAGTCTGGGGCATCCTTTCCCTCTCACCTAATCCCAGAGCCACACACGGGATAGGAACATCCTAGATGTGTGTTTCCTAAAAGCTGCCTTTGGTCAGTCCTTCGTAAACTTGCAGTGTAGGGAAACAGATAAGTGTGCTCTGTGTTAGTGAAGCCATTGATCACCAGCCCTCAGTGGACTGTCTTAATGACCAGTTTTTTAAAAAAAATTTTATTTTATTTTAGCGTATTATGGGGGTACAAGTGTTAAGGTTACTTATATTGCCCATGCCCCCCTCCCCCCTCGAGTAAGAGCTTCAAGCATGTCCATCCCCCAAACGTTGCACATCTTGCTCGTTGTGGTTGTATATACCCCTCCCCTCCCACCCTCCCAACACCCGATAAATGTTACTCCTGTATGTCCACTTAGGTGTTGATTGGTTAATACCAATTTGCTGGTGAGTACATGTGGTGCTTGTTTTTTCATTCTTGAGATACTTCACTTAGTAGAATGGGTTCCAGCTGTATCCAGGAATATACAAGAGGTGCTATATCACCTTAATGACCAGTTTTAAACTGTTTTATGTCAGAAATAAAAGAAGCTAATACTAACTCAACTAGTATTTCAGATGATAATTCAACTAGTCTGTGGCGTGAGAATATTGAGGCAGACCCAGCAATGAAGCAGAAAGGTAAGAACGATCCCTTTTCACCCCTTTCCTAGGGAGAGGAGATAGAGCACTCCACAGTGGCACTGGTGTCAGGCACCTTTCTTCTCAAAGGGACACGGTCCAGAGCCCAAGGTTTTCCCCCCCTGGGTCTGAATGTGGCAAACGACTCACTTCTGCCTTTTTGCGTGAACTAGAATCGAGGAGGTTGTTGCTTGGTAACATGAGACTCTCTCTGTCGTTCCCAGTGTGCTTTGAGCAAGGTTAAAGTGGGGGTGTCATGAGTGATCCCTGAACAAGTTTCAGGGTCACTGCTTGAAGAGCCCCACAAGCCAAGCAGTGTACTACCCGCACCTCCTGTTCAAAGAGGACTTTTGAATAGCTAAAAATGCTGTTGCTACTATGGTTTTTCTTTCTGTATCGTTCTTTCAGTGTCAAGTTGTACCTTAGTGAGATTCTGTTTCAGCATAATTTTTCTCAGCACTTAAAAAAATCCTGGTAGAGTTATACATTCAGCATTAAGTCCCTGGAGCTCCTTATGGCCTGCAGCAGTGCCAGTGCCTCATGCGGCCAGGGCGTGGCGTGGCTGGGCAAGGGATAGCGTCTGTTGATGTGCTCAAACAGAAACTATTTGTTGAAGGCCTACCGTGTGTCAGGCCAAGGCAGGGAGTGCGTCAGCGAGGAAAGTCAGACTGGCCTCCTGCCTTCCTGGCGTTTGCACGCAAGCTGAGATGAGGCTGCAGAGATGACCATTTGACAAAAGGTGCTGCGGGTGGTCAGGGTGGAAGGGACCTTGGGTGACCTGGAGAGCGGTGAGGTGGCTGGGGAGAGCCTGCTGGGCAAAAGGAACTACATAAACGACAATCCCAGGTGGGACATGTTCAGCAGACCGGCTGGCTCGGTATGGGGGAAGCATCCAGAGTTGGGGGAGTGGGGAGAGTCCAGTTGGTTCCTGCCAGGCTTCGTGTGGCCAGTTAGGGAGTTTAGTCTTTATCATAAGAGCAGAAGGGAGCCAATAATATTTTTAGGAGGAGTGACATGATCATATTTAGATTTTAAAAAGAATAGCCATGTTAATTAAGGGGGCTTGAAGAGCAGTCCAGGGAAGAGGAGAGTGGGCTGGGCTGTGGTGGAGCAAGGGGCGGGCAACGGGAGGATCCTAGGGCTGCTAGATGTCCTCGGGGACGAGGCCTAGAGCTTAGGGGACAGGTCTGGACTAGAGAGAAAAGGTGAGTGGTGGTGGTGCATGGGTGACGGTGTGAGCCTGGGTGGGGATGACGTCACCTGGCACTAGAGGCTTTGCGACTGCAGGAGGTGGGAGCTTTGGTACTGTGGGAGCAGAGGAGGAAGGAGTCGACTGTGTGGAGGGTGCCTTGGGGCTCCGGGGATGGGACCTGTGTGGGGTTAGGGACCCAAACTGTGAAAGGTGCAGTTTACCTTCTGGGTGTCAGCCTCAATGACCACCTCTCAGTAACCTTTCTGAGCACTGTGTGAACCCAGGATCTGTCCCTGACACCCTGATGAAACCCCGATGGCTTTAGTTTTGAAGAAAAGGTTGGGGATTTGGAGTTGAGGACCTGGCTCAGCTGCTTGGCCTCTGGTAACACAGTGACTCTTAGTGCTGGTCTCTGCTAAGCACACTGTCTAGGGCACACAGCCTCCAGGAGAGGGTCTGCTGCCATCTGCTCTTGGTCCCCAGTAGCCTTGTTCCAGGGTTGAGGCAAGCCCCCCACCCCACTTGCGCCAAGGTGTCATCCTGGGGTCTCTGAAAATGCCATGTGCAGGTTCTCGTGCCACAGTCCTTGCCAATGGTGCCTGTTCTCACAGCACCTGCTAGTGACGCTGTCTGGAACTGTGTTCTCTGGGCCCCTCCTAACCATTGGCCCCTCCAGGCCCACCCTCTGTGCTGTGTTACTCTGTGGGGTGTGATCTCTGGAAGCTCTGGGCCTTTCCCCCTAGAGCCACCCTCCTTAGTGCAGCATTTATGCTGCTCTCTGCCTGGATTGCTCACAGAAAGTCCCCTGCGAACAGACAACCTAGGAGTGTGTGAGGAGTGCTTTTCACTCGGCATTTGCATGTGGATCCTCATGGTAACCTAGGCTGATTCCTCCTGGCATGTGACTGAGACATCCCTGTCTGGGTGGGGCCAGCCCCTCTCCCCGCATGGTGTCGTTGGCTCTTCTGCAAATGCATTCATGCTTCCTGGGAGTGTGAAACAAAGGTTAACTATCCACCTATGGTTTTGAGTCTACCCCACTCTTACGGTGCCACTGCTCATTAACCTGTTACTGCTTAGGTCACATTTGTCCCCAAAACACAGCACCTGAAGGATTGTCAGGTGTGGAGGTACGCCTGTCGTGAGCTGGGGAATTTTCTGCTTTCAGAAGCAGATAGACAGTTCTATAAGATGGGCTCATGTCTGGCTTCACCCAGTCTTAGAAACGGCCTGGAGGTTTGGTGTGCCGGGCGCAGCCTGTCACGTCCTCCCCTTGCACTCGGAGGCAGTTTTTCCATGGCGTCCTGGCTTGCCAACTTTTGACCGTGCATTTAGTTCATCTCTGTGATATCCCTGTTTCGTGTTTTTATGTAATAACATTTCATGATTTGTGGTTTTGTTTGTTTGCTCTTTGTTTTCTGTTTTTGAAAATAAAATGGCAATAGGAACTTAGAAAAGAGGCTGTGTGGAAATGGCTCTTTCTTTCTGACAGACATCCAACATTATTTACAGTGTTTTTTCTCTAGTTCTGCTCTGATCATTCAGCATATTGAGGTTTACTTACACAGAAGCTAATTCTCTCCTGTGCTTTTTTTTAGGCGACTCGCCCAGCGATGCAGGTAAGGAATGGGCTTAAGTAAGTATGTTTGGTATAGATTGTGTGTGTATAAACACACACGTGTACTCTCTGAATGATGTTTTACAAGTTGCATGAGTGAAAGTAACATTTTACGGAAATGAATCTTAACTATATCAATTTAATTCGAGATTTAATGTATATGTTTTAAGTTTGAAACGAATACATTTTAAGATTTTTTTTCCAGAGTATAAAGTACATTTCTAATATTCAAATTCTGATTTATTTTTACTGTTTTCTGAAATATAACTTTTTTTTTACTTTAAATAGGGAGGATAAATTTAATTGTCTTAATAGCTTGGGCTTGTTATTTCGTGATTAAATTTTTTTATCAAAATGAAGAAAACTGTGTTCTGATTATAAAAATAATATGGTACATCCCCAAGACAGAAAATTTTAAAATGCAAAAAAATATGAAGAAGACAATAAAAAAGGCCACTGGTCATAACTTGAATGAATATTCTTCTAGAATACCATATGTGTATGTAATTATAGATATACTACTATCCTGTATTACTAATTATATGTTAAGATGATTACTATACTATACTACTAATTATATGTTAAGATGATGTCATTGTTTTACACAAAATGATCTAGCATGTGACTATACCATAATTTACTTAGTTACCAATTGTTTGTCACTATTATCGATGACGATGAGTGAACATCTGGACATGAGTTCATTTATTAGGTTGTATTTCCTTTAAGTTAAATGCTGAGTTGATTGGCCTATCTTTTAGATTTTATTTCTGAAGTAGTTGAACCAGTTTGCATTTCCGGGGTTTAAGTGTGCCCGTTTCCCCAAAGGTATATATCAAAAATCTGTTTTATTGTCATCAAAATGATAGATGAAGAAATAGCTCATCTGTATTTGCAGTTATTTGATTGTTGTCTTTTCAGATACTTATTAGTTGTTTGTGTTTCTTCCTTTGTGAATTGCTGACTGGATTGTCATCCGTTTAGAAGGAGAAGTTGTACCTCCTGGCCGAGAGAAGTCTGAGATGTCAGAGAATCCAGAAATCCCCAGTGAGCTTTCGTCCGGTGTCAGGTCTGTGTGCTTCTGCTCCCAGGACTCTGCTGCGGTGCTCCTCTCTGTGCCTTTTGCTGCTCCCTGAGTGCTTGAGCTGCCTCATGAGCAATTACTTGTACAAAGAAAGCAAAAACTATTTACGTAATTTTTCACTACCTGAGTTATATAACGATATGTAGACTATTTTATAGATTTAGGGAAATTCATAACTATGGCTAAATTATGTCATGTTTTGCTTAAAGATAGTTACATGCTATTTTTTTGGTACCTTGAAATTACTGAACATACAAGCGGCAGAGATGCAGGTTACTGGACTTTTCCTATTCTCTGTGCGGTAGTATGTCCTAACTATGGTAGCACGTGGATAATGGCCCGGGAACTAGTGTTAACATTAACCTAGGTTTTCTTTGCCCGTTTTGAAATGTATAAGTGTTTCATGTCTCTCTTTTGGTTTTCTAATGTTTGGATTTAGAAGAATACCTCGGCCCGGGAGTGCCAGACCAGCGCCTCCCCGGGTCAAACAACAAGAAAGCGTGGAAGCATTGCCGATAGAGAGGTAAGGCTGGCTCTGGTCACGCAGTGTCCTCTCCACTGTGTGGGGACAGTGAGACAGAGGAGTACTGGTGCCTCTGCCGGGAGGAGATGGGGTTGAGGATGCAGCAGATGGTACTGAGAAAACTCGCTATTGAGGAAACAAAAATGAGGGCAGGGCCTCCCTTTAAACCATAGACCAACAGACATTTCAGATGAATGAAAGGGGAAAAATTTGCATATGTATAACATTAAATCTTAAAATATATGGGGGACTGTTAGGCTGTCTTTGTCCGATCTCTAGATAGAAGTCTTTCTAAACATAAAAACAATGAGGAAAAAAGGTTTGAATGCTTAATTGCACAAAAATTAAAAATGAAAGGTTGTCAGAAAGTTATAAGCAATATAAAGACAAGCAACAGACAGGTGGGCTCAGAGTAGATTTCACATTGAATAAGAGGCGGGAATTGAAGACAGCAAGAGTAGACATGTTTTTCCAGGAGTTTTGCTACAAAGAGAAGCAAAGGAATGGGACGCTAGTCAGTGGGGAAGAGAGTATCAAGGGAAGTTATTACTTTTTGTTTTTAAGATGGGAGAAACATCACATTTTTCTGCTACTGGGAATGATCTATGGAGGGGGGAGATTGCTGATGCAGGAGATGTGGATGGGGAGCCGGGGGAGTGAAGTCCCGGTGTGGGTGTGGGATTTGGAGCTGTGGAGAGTTGACCTGTAGTGCAGATTCTGAAAGTGATTCTCTCTGGTGCTTCGTTTTTCTTGTGAGCTGAAAGTGGGTCCTGAGGAAGAGGAGGAGGAGGTCAGAGGAGAGGGGGTGGCACGAAGTCGGTCTGCACAAGAGTGGGCTAGTGAATACACTGGGGCAGAGGTTTTCATTTAGAGGTGACCCCTCCCTCCAGGGACACTGGGCCATGTCTGGAGGCATTTTTAGTGTCATGACTTGGCAGGGGTGAAGGAGAGAAGGTTTGGACATCTGGTTGGGGGACTGGGGGCAGGGTTGCCAGGACACTGCACGGGACCTGTGTATCTGAAGGATGATGGGCCACACGCCCATAGAGCTGGGGTATGGGACATGGTGGAGCCAGAGAGAGGGTTGTTAAGATCAGAGTGCACCACAGGTGGAGTTGAGGCTGTTTGGGGAGGCGGGTGTTATTTAAAGAGCTCATTCCCAAGTGTGTGGATTCCGTCTGGCCCTTGTGTATTGCACTGAAGCAAGGAAAAGGTGTGGTGTGTGTGTAGTGTGTGGTGTGTACATCTGTGTACCTGTGTGTGCACATACTACAGAGGGATAGTGGCGCAGGGGCAGGATTTGGTTGACGCATGGTTGTGTTAAGTTGTATAGGGCAGGAACGAGGGCAGTAGTAGCCAATGGGAAGCCCACAGAGCGTCTGGGTCTGAGGGCTTGTGGCCAAGGCCCAGTGCAGGAGAAATGAGTCCTGAAGCAGAGGACGCCGACAGTGGTCTGGGTGGGGAGGCTATAGATGGGACAGTTCCAGCAAGGGGCCCTGGAGGGCATGAGAGAGCCTTTGGATGAAGGTAGTCACCAGGGAGGACAAGGTCAGGGCTGAGGGGCCAGCCTACTGAATGTTTACTTGCCCAGAATGACGACAGGTCCTGGGTAGCAGTGGCGTGCACACGTCGGGTGCCATACAGGGCATAGAGCAGCAGCTGAGACTAGGAGTCAAATGACGGGCTTCGAGCCGGCTGTGTGTAGAGAGGTCTGGGGGCAGCCCTGGCTATTGGGCCCCCAGGACAACCCCTTGCCCGAGGCTTGCAACCTGGGAGAGTAGCCCCTCTGGGTGGAGGGCGGCAGGGAAAGTGCTGACTTCGCAGAAAGCCAGGGTCAGCAGAGGACGGTCCTGAGGCCTTCGTTAACAGAGGACACAGTTGGGGCAGGATGCCAGGTGTGGACCACGAGGTCCCAGTGGCACAGGGAGGGCAGTGGGGTGGGGGTGGGAGTCTGGTGTCTCGGGTGCAGGGCAAGGCTCATGGGGACCCAGGCCTGGAGGGCTTCCTTGAGGACGGTTTCCGTACAGTTCATCTCAGCTGCAGCGTGTATTTTGTGATACTGTTCTAGAGATGATTAGTGGTTAGATTCCTCTCAGATAGCCCTGACATAGTTCCAGATGCATAGGATTGATGAAAACTTGTGACTGACAGAACATTTCTAATTTAATCTAATTTCTTTTTATTTAGGACAGGGAGTGGTAAAACCGTCTCAAATGTGATTATAGATTCACAGAATTCTGACAATGAAGATGATGATCAGTTTGTGGTGGAAGCTGCCCCTCAGATCTCTGAAATGTCAGAAATTGAAATGGTTAGTTAACTGAAGCAGGATTTTTTTTAATAATTATATTTTATCTGGACTGGCATGATTAGGTTATTAAATATGAAATGTCCAATTTTGAATCAAAAGTCTAGTTTATTACATCTCAAATACGAAGCAGTATAATTAATCAGAGTGCACACCTAAACTGTCGACACAGTTTAGCCATCTTAACAGTAGCTTGCTTATGCCAGCAGTGAGGGAGCCTGGAGAGTGAGTGGCTATGAAATCGCAAAAGGTGTTTTCCATGGTTTGTTGATAATTGAATATTTTTCCTTGCAAGAAGTGGCCCAAAGCCTGAAAGAAGTGGCGGTCAGCTGGTGTAAGGTCTGGTGAATATGGTGGATGACAGTTTCCAAGTCCAGCCTCTGTAATTTGAGCAGCGTTGTATGTGCGACATGTGGTCGAGTACTGTCTTGAGAGAGGATTGGCCGCTCTCTAGTGACCAGTCTTGGCTGCTTAATGGCAAGCATCATCATCGTTTCATCCAGTTGGTTGCAGTAGACATCTGTAATCATTGCCCAGGTTTCATGAAGCTGTAGTGGATAATGCCAGCACTGGATCACCAGACACCATTAGCTTTTTCTGATGAATATTTGGTTTTGGACTGTGTTTCAGCACTTCATCTTTATCCAGCCATTGTGCCAAATGCTTGCCATTGTCAAATAGACTCTATTTTTCATCACACGTAACAATACAGTGTAGAAAAGGTTCGCCTTTATGTTATGACAGCAAAGAAAGGCAAGCTTCAAGATGATTTCTCTTCTGACGCTCATTTGATTCATGCCCACCCCATCTATCCAGCTTCTTTACCTTGGCAATTTGCTTCAAGTGGTCCAATGTTGTTGGAATAGTAATGGCAAACCTTGCTGCTAATTCACGCGTAGGTTGAGATGAATTTGCTTCCACTACATACGGCTTTCAGCTCATCATTATCCACCTGGGTGTCAGATCGCCCATGTAGCTTATTTTCAAGGTTAAAATCATAAGAACGGAACTTCTCAAATCTTCGACATACTCTGCATTCATTGGCTGCATCCTTCCCAAACACTTTGTTGATATTTCAAGCTGTCTGCTCAGCATGGGTTCCACGATAAAACCCAGATTTGAAAATAACGCGAACTTTTGAATTATCCAGGGTTTCACAAAAATTCCTCTAAAAAAAAACTTTGAAAGGTAATCACAAGGCAAACCATACATTCGAAAGAACAAGGATGTACCTTTATGATAAAAATAAAACAAGAAGTGTCAAAGCAAAACGTCAGGGATAACAACTGTCAATCTTAGTACTTAATGAAATCGGACATTTCATACTTAACCTGTTAATACTCTAGCTTTTAGATTTATGTAGACAAAAATTTCCTCTAATTTTTTCATTAGTTTTTTATCTTCTTTGTCGTTCCCTTTTTGAGATCTACAAAAGCATGATTTTGGGAATGTAGCAAGCCTGAATCTTCTCTTTTTCTCCTTTCTTTCCTGTGCAGGTACCAGCAGTGGAATTAGAAGAAGAGGAGAAGCATGGTGAGTCCTGGGTGTGAGTGTGTGTGTGTGTGCACGCGCGTGTGCATGCGTGCGTGTGCACGCGTATGCTTGGGAAGGATGCAGTATGAGAGACTTCTGTGTGCCAGGTTCTGGTTCAGGGTCAGAGTAGCAGCAGGTAGCTCCACCTGCAGGTGTGGGCTCCTCCTGTGTGGGTGCTGAGGGCTGCTGCCCGTCCTCGGAGAACTGGGAGGACACCGCAGGACACTGGAGATTCGCTGTGAGCTGTCACGGACACGACTTCTTTTCTTAACCATATAATCAGACAGTGGAAGTAGATGACCTTAGAGATAAGATCCTTCCCAAGTCCAGTTCTGCAGTACTATTTATTCTCTTTCTAAGCACAGTGTTTTCTTTTATCTCTAACATTTGCAAAGTTAAGAGAATAGCCTGATGAACTCCCTTGTGCCCGTCACACAGCTTCTGCAGTGATCAGCTCATCTTGTTTTACTGAGCTTGTACCTGTGTCACTCCCCCTAGACTATTTTCAAGTCCCAGAGACCCAGAGAACATCATTTCATCTGGAAATATGTTGTACAAATCTCTAAAAGGTGAGGGCTCTTTTTTTTAAAAACAAACAAACAAACAAACAAACAAACACAATTCCATTTTTGTATATAGAAGAACTTAATAATTCCGTAATATCATCAGATACCTGGTTTTTCCAGTAGTCTTGTATATTTTATCTAGTTTGTTTGAGTCAGGATCCATGTAAGGTCCCTGCATTGCAATTGATTGATCTAACTCTTAAGTCTCTCCTTATCTGTAACCCTGCCCACTTGTGATGCGTTTGGTGAAGAAGCTGGCTGGGTTGTCCTTCAGAATTTCTCATGAAACCCCATAGTGTGTTGCATCATGCTCGTCTGTTCCCTTTGTAACCTGTCAGTTATTCTAGGAGACTTGGTCAGATTCAGGGTTGGGGAGCAAGCATACCTTATAGATGATTTTGGTTCTTAATATAATGTCTAGTTGACTCTTGACTTCTTATGTTAGGCTAGGTTTGTTTTTACACTAAGGTTTGCAGAATGGTGATACTGGCATCTCACCCTCCCTTCTGCATTCTGTAGCTAGAGAGCTCGGTAGTACAACCCCCCTGGAGTTTGACTACTCTGAGGCACAGCTCCTACAGAAGAGACAGGCTAAATGCTTTTTCCTGTATTGATCTGTTTCTATGATAGTGACATTTTTGATTTTTGATGTAGGGTTTCACATTATGGTGACTTTGTTTCCTGGCACCCATGAAAGGTAACTAATGAGGGCTTTTTTGTTTTGGGGGTTATTTCTGGTATCTGTATGAAGTTATGAATTTTTAACGTATATTATGTGTTTCATTTTATTCTATCTCAGTTTTTTTTTTTTTTTTTTTACTGATGTTAAATTGCCCAGTATTTGACCAGTGGGAGCCTCTTCCAGTTATCTTCTGGGAGCCTTTTTGACACATCCCAGTAGACTTTGTAGCTTCCTTGTTTTCTGAAATGACAAGATGGTTCAGGCTCATTTTGTATATGCCCTGGCCCATGTCTGCTGTTTCTCTAAGAAGCCTGGCTCCTGTTGCTTCTGGGTCGGTCCTTGTTTCTAGATGTTTTTATGGCACAAAGCAAGAATATACATTTTTAAAAAATGAGAATACATATCCTGAGTTCATACTAATATTTCTAATTCAGATTTGGGATTATAGGGTTATGTCTTTGTTCTTTGATTTTACATGTGCATCTCTTCCATCTCATTCCCCAAATCCTGGTTCTCAGCAACATCAGCTGTTTTCATGCTTTATCCTGCAATACGTATACGGTGATTTTAGAACACCACCACTAGTCATCAACAACAATAGGATTACTGAAAATATTTTAGGATTTTTTTTTTGGTAGGTCCATTTGTCTTTTTATTCTTAGAGTATATCCCATTAAGGATGTACAATCAATTACTATGTTTTAAAGTCATGAGATAATTCTTCTCCATTAGCATATAGTTGCTAATTTGATAAGTTTATTTCATTTTGGTTTCAGTTTTTAGGCATTGATGTTTTTAATTTTTTTTATGTAAGATATTCACATAGTTTTAAGGTCAAATGTACAAAACAAGGTATAATCAGAGATGTGGAGCTTTGATCCTGGTCTCCACCCTCTGCTCTCCCTCCCCATAGGTAACAGTAAAAAATATGTTTTATACTTCCATTTACAAAAATAAGTAAATGAGTGTTCGTGTGTGTGTGTGTGTGTGTGTGTGTATCAATATCTATACTTGTCTTCCTCTTGCTTTCTTTTGTTAACTTGTCAGTATATACCGACATTCATTCCATAGCAATTTAGATAAGTAGTCTTCATTCCTTTGCATAGCTGTGTGGTCCCCCACCATGTGGATGTGCCCTAATTTATTCAGTCAGTTTCATATTGATGCATCCTTGGGTAATGATTTTTCTTATGATATTTATCCCATATGAAAGAAATGGAATACCCTTGCCCTAATATAAAAGAAGTATTAGTATTTAGAAGCAGTTCATAATTGTTATATCTGTTTGTAATAGGCAGTTATATTTTTGGATATTAACCTATATTCCTTCTTAGTCTTTGAAAATAGAATAGAAAATCTTTTTATTTATTTATTTTTGTAGAGATGGGGTCTTTTGTAATGACAGCTATGTTGCCCAGGCTGGTCTTGAACTTCTGGCCTTAGACCAAGGCAAATCTCCTGCCTTGGTTTCCCAAAGTGCTGGGATTTATAGGCATGAGCCACTATGCCTGGGCAGAAAATAAATTTTATTTCCAAAGTTTTTTAGTTTTCAAGGAGCTGATTTCCTTGAAACACTTAGAAATTTTATAATTTCCACAACCAGCTATTGTATAACTGTATTGTAGACTATACAGTTACACAAATAAAGATTGCAAATAAAGATTTTAACAAATAAAGATTAAACTGTTTTCAGTGTTGAAAGAGGATAAGAACTTAGTATTTCTTCCACCCTCCTACCCATTTAGAATAGCTTCTTGGGGCAGAGAATAAACTTTTAACATAAAACCACTGATTTTTCAACAGGTGGACTTGTGAAAAAAATTTTGGAGACTAAGAAAGATTATGAGAAATTGCAGCAGTCACTGAAACCTGGAGAGAAGGTAACGGAATGATTTCTGTAAACATTGACATTTTAGCAGTCCGTTTCACACATTTACTTTAAAAATTAGAATCATCTTTCAAATCAGTAATGTCTGCTTACATGTTTAAATGCCATTCCTCCCCAGCCCAGCTGAGAGGGTAGAAACCGTGGGGCTCTTTCTGTGTGGGGCTGCTTCCCTGGACCGCTTCCAGCCCTGTGCTGGGTAGGCAGCAGCTCGCTCTAGAAGCTCAGGAGCCAAGAGCCGAAGACCTGCTCTGCTCAGGCTCCATGGCTCTCCCCTTTGGGCCTTACCAGTACCTTCCCTCAGGTTTTGGTTGCAGAGTCGGGCTGGCTGCCTGGCCCTGGATGGTTGCAAAATAAGAAGCTGGGGAAGTTTTCAAGTCTGGCTTTTAAATGTGTGTGCTATTTGTACCTGAGGCCTAGCCGTCCTCCCTGCAGCTATGTGATGCGGTTTTGTTGAAACCTACAGTCTCCCACCGGCTGCTGCCCTTTCCTTGGCACGTGGCTCTCGGGTGAGCACCTGCAGGCTAGGGGGTGTGCCCACTGTGCTGTGGCTAGATTTCTCTTATAGTCCCTTTAAATAGTAAGGATAAATATTTTTTAATAGAAATTTCTTAGATAGTTAGCTTAATCAGTCAATAATTCCAAAAAGTTTATATGTGGGAGTATGTGCACACATGAACACACACATACATTTTCCCCCAGCTGATTGAATGGTTATTTGTTTTAGATAATTCTGATTAAAATGCTCTATTCTGTCATGAAGCTAGGGCCTGAACAGCCAAGGAGAGCTGTACGATTGAGACTAGCGTCAGAGGGAGCCCTTCTAACAGCAGCGACTGGAGAATGCAGCTGCCTAGGCTTTGCTGACAGCAGCACTGTTTGCTCTTCTGAAAGGAGAAGTGTTTTTCTGTGGTTTTGTTATGGAATTTTAATATGTCATAGTCCTTTGATGTGCGTGAGGGGTTGTCCTGGTTTCCCTGGTGATGCGTCTGAGCCCCAGTCGAAAACCTTGAGCGTGCGCCTCCAAGCTGTTAGTGTAGGTAGTAACTTTTGAAATGTCCATTGGTTCAAATTTTATAGCCATGTTTTTTACACAGAGCATACTAGGACCGTATTTCAAAGTTCCCTTAAAAGAGTAAATTTCAGATTGGTAAATCATTTGACTTCAGAAGATAAAAGGAACAAATGTTCTTGTTTGGTGAACATTTACTGCTTTAAAGAAGTATAGTTAGTGAGTACTTCAAAATCAGGGGTGACATATATTACAATAGGGTAGGGAAAGATCAGCAAGTGTCTTTATGGTTTTCTTTAGGATACTGATAAACATCAGAATTAAATTTAACTTGATCTTCTTATAATAATTTAATTAGGTTTTTTTAAATAAAAGAAATAAAAATGCACAGGAAAAGTCTGCTTTCTTTCTTTTCTTTTTTTTTTTTTCCGCTGCCCAATCACATTCTCCTGAGGGCAACCACTAAGATGAATTCAGTGTGTATCCCTACCTTAACATGTATGTAGTGGTGTTTTGTGAGTGTTTAATGTTACCTTGTTGATATGTTATCCAAGTTGCTTTCTTCAGACAGCATGTTTTGAGACTCTCCCTGTTTCGATACTTGTAAGTCTAGTTTATTCATTTTAATTGAAGACTTGTTGCCCTTTATGTATTTATTAATTCCTTTATTGATGGACATTTAGCTTTTTCCCAACCATTTGCTGTTACAAACAGTGTTTCCATGGACTCCTTTCCATGTCTCTTGGCATGCAAGAGCCAGTGTTTCTTCAAGCAAGAATCAGCAAATTTTTTCCATAAAGGTCTAGATAGTAAATATTTTAGGCTTTTTGAACTATATGGTCTTCGTTGCATCTATTGAACTCTGCTAATATAACATGAAAGCAGCCACAGCGTAGACACTGTAAATGCATGTGCCTGGCTCTGGTCAGTAAAACTTTATTTACAAAACAGAGGATCTGGCCTGTGGGCCATAGATTACAAACCCCAGCTTTAGAAGCTGTGCCCAGGCCTAGAATTACTATGCCAGAGTATACACGGATCTTCAGTTCTACCAGATATTTCCACTTTACTCCTCAAGTGGCTGTACCAATTTACTCTCCCAACAGAATGGACATTCTGTTTCCACACATCTGTGCCATCAAGATGGTGAACACACCCATCACCTTCAAAAGTGTCCTGTGCCCTGGGTCATTCCATCCTCCTCCTCCCTCCATGCTCCCTCGCCCCCATGCGCCGTCTCCTGGCAACCGCTGATCTGCTTTTTGTCACTATGTTTTAGTTTGCATTGCCTGGAATTGGATATAAATTGGATCATATAGTGTGCATTCTTTTATTTTTGGGGGGGGGATGGTGTCTGGCTGCCCTTACTTAGCATAATTATTTTACGATTAATCCATGCTGCAGCATGTACCAATAGTTTATTCCTTTTTATTGATGAGTAATGTTCCATTATATGGATATACCAATGTGCTTATCCATTTATCAGTTAATGAGCACTTGGATTGTTTCCAGCTTGGACTATTACAAATAAAGCTGCTATGAACATTCATACAAATCTTTGTATGGACAAATATTTTTGTTCTGTTGTGTAAATATAGTAGTCTCTCCCCCTTGTCCTTGGAGGATACGTTCCAAGACTCCCAGTAGATGCCTGAAACCAAGGCCAGTACCTAATCCTATATACACTACGTTTATTCCTATACATACATACCTATTTTAAAGTTTAATTTATAAATTAGGCAAAGTAAGAGATTAACTGCAATAACTAATAATAAGATAGAACAATTTTGACAGTGTGTCAGCATCACTGTTCTTGAGCTTTGGGGCCATAACTAAGTGAAATAAGTGTTAACACAAGCACTGCGACACTGCTGCAGCCCGTCTGATAACCGAGGGGGCTGCCGAGTGACTAACAGGCACATAGTGCGTGTGGTTTGGCCACGCTGGACTAACGATGATTTGTGCCTGGGCGGGACAGCCAAGATTTCATCATGCTACTCAGAATGGCATGCAATTTAAAATTTATGAATTGTTTATTTCTGAAATTTTCCATTTAGTGCTTTCAAACTGCAAGTAACTGAAACTACAGATAAGGGGGGGAGTGGGGAGTGCCTAGGAGTGGGACTGCCGAGTCATGTCGTAATGTATGTTTATCTTTTTATTACACTGCCAAACTACATTCCAAAAGTATAATACATATAATGGATCTAATCTAATCCTGTGTGTCTCATATGTTGTAAATATTTTTCTAATCCATTACTTGTGTCTGACTTTATATCTTTTTATTTAAAAAACTTTTCTATTTTGATATAAAATTTAAATAGCCTTTTTCTTTATACATTATTTTTAGCTTTGTTTGAAAAATCTGTTCTATCCTGGTTATAAATTTTAGTTTCTTTTTCACATTGAGGTCTCTGATTGGTCTGGAATTTATATTTTATGTTGTGTGGTAGATATCTGACCCTGACCCCTCCTCCTTCCCGCCTTTGTAATGCCGTCTCTAGTGAGCCCAGATGTCCTTCTTGGGTGTATTTCTGGGCTCTCCATTGTGTCCTCTTTGTTTTAGGCACTGTATTGTTAAGTCTGGGAAAGACTTTTTAAGTGGTCCCCCCCACTCTCCAGGTTGTCTTGACTATAATTAAATCTTCATGGTTTCATGTAAATTTTAGAATCAGTTTCTGTGGTTCCATGTGTGATTTTGACTGGAATTTACTAATCTTCTCTTGACTTTTACCACTAACTGTTGCTCCATTCATTACCTTGCCTGTTTTTGCAGCAAAATGCCTCAAAAGGATTGCATATCTTGCTGTCTGCAATTTGCCTCTTTCCATTCTTTTCTAACCCCATGAGTGCCCTTGTCGAGGTCACCTGACCTTCCGGTTATGTCCAGTGTTTAATTCGCAGTCCTCATTTTACTGGAATTACCAGCAGCATTTGGTGCACCTAGTTCCTCTCTTCTCCTTGATGAGCCTCCTTGTTTGGCTTCCCCGTGGTGTGCTCCTGTGTTGCCCAGCTGCCGTGCCAGCCACCCCCCCATCCTGTGCTCTTTTCACTCTTATCTTAGTAGTGGAGTCTTAAAGTTGTTAGCGTCTCTCTTCTCTCAAGTTAATTTTTTTTTCTTATAACAACGTTGACTTCTTTAGTGATTATATTCCATTTTTCTATTCCTTCTTCAGTTTATTTTGGTAATTAATATTTGAATCAGTTAGGTTGAGATTTACCTGTGAGCAAAAGAAAGATCTAAAACAATAGTGGCTTAAACGAAGTAGAAAGTGTTTTATCTCAGGGGTCAGAGTCTGGAGGCAGCAGTCCAGGAAGCAGTGACCCAGATGCCTTCGGCCTCTTCCCTCCCCATGTGTGACTTCTCATGCTCAGGGCACTTCATGGGTGAAGATGGCTGTCCCAGCTCCAGCCTTCAAGATTACATTCCAGCCAGCAAGAAGGAGGAAAAAGGAGCAAGGAGAAGGCATGCCTCTCCTTTTCTAGGATATTTATTGGAAGTTATGACTGACTTTATATGGGCCGGTACTTCATCACAAAGGAGACCATAAAATGAAACCTTTATTTCAGGCATCCATTTGCTTAGCTAACAGTTGGGGATTCCATTACGATAGGCTAGAACTTGCCAAATTTTCTCCATGCCTGACATGCTCAGAAAATGATAATTTTTGTAAGGCACACGGGCAAGTGAAGGAGGCTGCCTGGCTGGTTAGGGGCCGAGGGTTTCTGGAACCAGCACATCTCTCACATGTGGGCTGCACACGGAGGCAGGAAGCTCTGCCAAAGTGGAGATCAGAAATGAGGTCGACCAGCTGTCTCTTGCACAGTGTTCTTTGGTTCACATTTTACAGTCGTGGCATGAAGACCTTTGAAGTATACTTTTATGATTTAAAAATATTATATCTGTAGTTATAGTTCCCCTTTTCTTCCAAAAATTTTGTATCTTTTTATTCCTTGATGAAACTTTGTAAAACTATTAAAAT